AGAATTAAAAGAACGCATTGATAATTCATGCATAGTAACCAAGCAAGGCGATTAGGTATATTCCTATCCTAACTGCAAATCCTCCCCCCCCCCCCCTCCCCCTCAGAGTTAAGATCTTGCTCAACTCAATCTTATATGCAATCTAAAATTCCCTCTCCCGAGTTCAATCCTAGATTCGTAGATAGTATTCAATTGGTGATCAGGCAATTAAATAATTAAGTGCAAGATTGAATAAATAAACCAATATGATAAATTAATAAGAACAACTCAAGCTAGAACTTCAACGTTCATGTAGCACCCAAAACTCTAGAACTAATAATCTATGAGATTAAGGGAAGAGAAGAGAAGAAAAACTAGTTAGAAGCATCCTCCAAGCGTGGTGTGTGTTCCTCCCCGTGAATTCTCCTTCAAAGTATGTTAGATCTCCTCAAAATTAGGTTTAGGACTCCTTTTATACGAGTTGGGGGGTCTTGGGCCGAAATAACCTTGTCCCCGGCGAAGTTGGAGAAGTTTTCTGTCACCAGTGTCCAGCCCAGCGCTAGGCGCCGTCCCTGGCGCTGGTAAATTGCACATTCTGTTTGAGAGAGCGTGGGGCGCTTCCTGTGGCGCTGAAAATTCAATTTTTTTCTTTTTTTGTCTGTTTTGGCTCTAATCTCCCACCTTTCGCCCCCAATTGCTCCCGGATCATTCCTACACATAAAAACACCTCAAATTAATATAAATCAACACATTTACATCCTAAATCCACGAAACAGAAGTAAAACATGAGGCGATATACTGTCACGACCCTAAAATGTACCCGGTCGTGATGGCGCCTATCGTGAAACTAGACCAGCCGACACGAACCCTAAACAACCAGAAATTCATTATAAGACATTTAAAGTTAATAATTAACTAGAAATCCCATAATATATAAGTCAAAACAGTGCGGAAAATATATAACACAATCCAACATCGGGGTGTCACCAGTCATGAGCAACTACAACTCGTCTAGAATTGTGAAAAGAGAACATAGTCTGAAACAAAGCTAATACAAAGCGGAATAAAGATAGGAAGGAGAAGCACTGGGCTGCGAACGCCAAGCAGCTACCTAGTCAACTCCGAAAGCCTGCTGGAGAACAACTCAGCACTCGCTAGCGTGACCCGAGACTCCTGGATCTCCACACAGGGTGCACGGAGTAATGTGAGTACGCCAACTCAGTAAGTAATAAAAGTAAAGGTAGCTGAGCAGTAAGAAAACACGTAAACCACAGCATAATGCTACAGCAAAACATATAAGTCCAGAACAATGCAGTAAAGCAGTAAAACTCGTAAAAACATCTCAGTTTAGTAAAACCTTTTAAAACACTTTTCAATAGTTTCAAACGAGTGATGAAAAATGGTGAGTAAAAGTATAGAAACGTAAAAACAACCCATCGGGAAAAATACCAGCAGAAACCAACCCCTCGGGCTACCTCACAGTCACTTGTAATCAGCCCCTCGGGAAACAACAAGAACAACAACAGCCCCTTGGGCAATATCACATCTCACACTGGGTACCCACACTCACTAGGGGTGTACAGACTCCGGAGGGGCTCCTACAGCCCAAGCGCTATCACAAGCCATCTCGTGGGATAACAAATCAGGCATTCGACCCCTCATATATCACAAATCAGTGTAACACGGTGCGGCGCGCAGCCCGATCCCATCACATCCTCACAACACTGGCCCTCGGCCTCACTCAGTCAGAACTCACTCGACCCCTCGGGCAAACAGTAAAAATAGGTTCTCGTCTCAAAAATATCATTTATAACAACAAAAGGAGTAAATAAAACCTGAGTTATGAAATCAGTGAAAGTATAGCATGATTGAGTGTGAATATTACCAAAGCAGTGAGGAAACAGTAGTAAAAAGCCCCCTAAGGGTCCAAACAATCGGCACAAGGCCCAGACACAACATTTAGCCCCAAACATAGTAATATTTTTCAAAACACAATAATATTAAACAGTTTTCAATCAAATACGCGACTTAACAGTCGTACGGGACAGACCAAGTCACAATCCCCAACGGTGCACGATCCCACGCTCATCATCTAGCGTGTGCGTCACCTCAAAATAGCACGACAATATGAAATACGGGGTTTCATACCCTGAGGACAACATTTACAATCATTACTTACCTCAATCCGGTCCAAATTCTAGCCAGCGATACCATTGCCTCTCGAATCGGCCTCAACTCGCGTCGAATCTACCCAAAATCAGAATCATAACATTAGAATATGCTAAGGGAACGAAGCCCATGCAAAAAATAATCAAATTGCACCAAGGAACCCGAAATTGGCCAAACCCGACCCCCGGGCCCACGCCTTGGAATCCGACAAAAAAAACATCAATAGAATCATTATCCTCCCACGAGTTCATACATACCAAATATACCAAAATCCAACCACAAATGACCCCTCAAATCCCTAGATTAAGGTCTCCAATTTCCAAGCCCTAAACCCCCAATTTGGCTACTAATTTCCATAGATTTCAAGCTTAAACAGGTAAAAAACAACATAAAAACAAGTTTAGGGTCCAAAAACCTTACCTCCACGAAACCCTCTTGAATTCCCTTTTCAATTTGCTCTCCCAAGCTCAAACCCGTATGAAAAATGGTGAAAAACCACTCAAAAATCACGAAGGGCTAAATTTATATGTTCTTCCCCAGCTAAACCACTTCTGCGGTCGAAATCTCGCACCTGCAGTCCCAGGTGCGCATCTGCGGAATCCACTTAACCGCAAAAGGACCGCACCTGCGATCAAAATCTCGCACCTGCGCCATCGCAGGTGCGCTCGAACATCCGCATCTGCGGTTCCAGCTCCTCTCGCCCAGTTCCGCATCTGCGACATTCCTTACGCTTCAGCGGGCCCGCACCTTCGGTCCCCAAGCTGCAGGTGCGGTTATGACAGGAGCTTCAGCAACTTCAGTTGCAAATTTCCAACTCCAAACCTCCCGTCAACCATCCGAAATCACCCCGAGCCCCCGGGACCTCAACCAAAAGTACGAATAAGTCATATACCATCAAACTTGTATCAATCTTCGGAACACACAAAACAACGTCAAATCATTAAAACACCCTCGGATTCAAGCCTAAGGATTCCAAAACACCCGAATTCCGCAAACGATCAAAAAGTCTATCAAACCTCATCCGAATGACCTGAAATTTTGCACACACGTCACAAATGACACAACGAACCTACTCCAATTTTCGAAATTCTATTCAAACCCCGACATCTAAATTTCCACTACCGACCGGAAACTCCAAATTTCCAATTCCGCCAATTCAAGCCTAAATCTACCACAGACCTCCAAATCACATTCCGGACGCGCTCCCAAGTCGAAAATCACCTAACGGAGCTAACCAAATCATAAAAATCCGAAATCCGAGGTCGAATGCTAAAAAGTCAAAACTTGGTCAAACCTTTCAAATTTAAAGCTTCAAACTGAGAATTGTTCTTCCAAATCTATTCTGATTACCCTGAAAACCAAAACCAATGATTTACATAAGGCATAATACATCACACGGGGCTAGTCATGCCCAAGAACTGGCGAGCGAAGTGCAGAAGCTCAAGACGACCGGTCAGGTCATTACATTTACATATAAATATATCTACTTTAAGCTAAACACCACACGGACTCTTCTTTCGTCCAATAATCATTGACTTCCTCTGATCACAACTGATAATTATATATCTTTTCCCTTATCTTGCTGAAATTCAACAAATTAACTAAAATCCCTGTCAGCGTAGGAACCTGAACTTGTAAGAACTCAGGAAACTTTCTTCTAACGGCAATGTTTGGAAACTTAGGAGCAGTGGCGAGCCACATGCTAACAAGAGTGTTCACTTGACCATTGTTCCTCGGTTGACCACTCTTCGTCGAAAAATTATACTGTGTATATTGATAAAATTTTATATTTTAGAGGTATATAACACATATTGAACACCCTTTGTCGTGAGTTTTTTTTTACTTCTTCCAAATTTGAATACCCTTGGATAAATTCTTAGCTTCGGCACTGCTTAGGAGTTCAATAATAAACCAATGTACGCTATTTAGTCATTTATATGGGTAATCTTTTCTTTAAAAAACACAAAATAGGTTAAATGTTTTTGCTAGTAGGGGTGTACATGGACCGGGTTGGTTCAGTTTTTATCAAAATCAAACCAAACCAACGATATCGGTATGGATTGGTTCGGTTTTATCGGGTTTTTTGGGTTTTCAGGTTTTTTTGTTACATGAATATTATTTCAATCTTACTTTGTTAAAATTATAGATAAAGCTTCGATAAGTGAATATATGTTTAGTAAATATTGAAAAAATTGACAAACATATGATCTATCAAAATATTTTAATGGGAGAATTTTTTTAGTAACACGTGATAGCTATTTTCTTAGTCGTCTAACAATAATTGTTCGTTAATGTACCCTTTCAAGGTTAAAACATGAGAGGATCCTAAAAAAAAAAAATCAATATAAAGTCTTAAAATATAAATAAAATTTACATATTTATATTTAAAGTTTCTTCAACTCCAGAAATTATTGCCAGGAGTTTCATAATTTAAAAAAGAAGACGATGAATTCCTTTGTTGAAAAAAAGATAGGGAAAAAACCATAGATACATATTTTAAAGGATTTTCCGTAAAGGAAAAACAGCATGGATGTATATGCTTATTAGTATTTGAATTTCAAAAATATTTGAGGACCTCGTGATAATAATAATAGGAATCATTTGATATCCATGGATAAATCACTACACTCTTAACCAAAAGATGTCAAGTTCAAGCCATAAAACTGATAAAAACCCCTAGTAAGAAACACTTCCGCTTTACTATGCAGTGTAGATCTAAATTAATTAGATTATTGATTACCGAATGTCATATATCCAAAAATGATTTGTGGTACACGGGATAAGGTGGAATAAAGTGTGAAACAAAGTTTATGCTATGTTTAAAGCTCATAAGACAAGTAAAGCTTTTCTCATATGTTAACAACTATTAAAGATCTTGAGAAGTAGAACCAATTTTCATTAGTTTTACATGATAACAGAAATCAAACATTCCCTAGTTTTCAACAGACTTTGCCTACATGCAACCATAAATATCAAAACTACATACAAGTACAGATTATTTCACAACCACATTAAAGCTCCTAATTGCACAGCTAAAATACAATGTTCTTACAACATGGATTCAAGTAGAACATCGTCACAAATTAGGCCTTCTTGGTTGCCTTCGTTGGCGATTTAGCAGGTTCTTTGTCAGATCTCTTAGGCAGAAGAACTGGATTGATGTTAGGAAGAACACCTCCATGAGCAATGGTTACACCAGCTAGGAGTTTTCCAAGCTCTTCGTCGTTCCTTACAGCTAACAAAACATGCCTCGGTATTATCCTGGTCTTCTTGTTGTCTCTCGCTGCGTTTCCAGCCAACTCTAAAACCTAAACACCATTCAAACCAAAATCAACACCAAATCCAACTTATAGCTCTATTAGTTTTCTTGTTGTAATAGCGATTTTGAGGCTAACACAAAGTCAATAATATCAAAGTTAACCCATCAATCAATTGACTACTCTCAATCCGCACAAATCCAGAAACTAAATAAATTATATTTCAAGGCTATTCAAATCCAAAAAAATCATCTTAAAAGAAAATTAGGAAATATCAAAAAGTAAAGTACTTTAAATTTCATGCGCTTCATCAAAATGACCCCAGATCTCTAACCAAAACAAATCACTTAACCTATCTCAAATGCAACAATAAATCAAGCTACATGGTTTGAAACTCAATGGATAATAGACCCAAATCCCTCTACCATTCTCCGCTTAAATACCAAGCTTTCGAGTAAGGAAGGATTTGAAACCAGCAAGATGAGCTTTTACTACTAGACCAAAGCCTGGGCATCAATTTGGCTACTTATTGAGAAGAAGAAAAATGCAAATTCTTCATTAATTTCAACATTAAAAACCTAATCCGTCATTTTCTTAATGACCAAGATATCCATCTAGGGCCAACATTTTGGACCGAGCACAGCAATCTTGGAGATAATGAGCCCGTCCCTCTACCCTTCTCAACTTAAATACCACATTAATTAACATCGCGTCAAGCTCAAACCTGCGACCTAAGTCACAAGTCCCTCAACCTTTGCCACTTGAACTAAGCCCTACGGCACATACCTAATCCACCTAACAACGAACAAAAATAACAAAACCTGGGGGGAAATTAAGAAAGAGCCCATCAATTGAAAAGCAAACAGCTCTAAATTAAACAAAATAAGCAAGACCCTTTTGCAATTCAACAGTAAATACAAAACCCCAAATGGTAAAAAATCAAACTTTAAAAGAATTACCTCAGCAGCAAGGTACTCAAGAACAGCAGAAAGATAAACAGGAGCACCACTTCCAACACGCTGAGCATATCGACCCTTTTTCAGGTAACGCCCAATTCTACCTACCGGAAACTGCAAACCGGCCTTAACGGAACGGGAAACGGCCTTCTTCTTTGGACCACCACCCTTTCTTCCTCCAGCTCCCTTCTTCTCCATTTCTAACCTCTAAAAAACTCGAAATAATTGGGGAGAAGTGTTGTGTTTGTAACTTTAGAAAATTGATTTGTAATGGTGTTGAGTGTTACTGTGAGCTGACGTTTTAAATGGAAGAAATGGTATTGAATGAAGGGGAGAGTTATTTTGAGTCGTTGGTTTTGGGGTTAATCTACGGCTGTGATATGAGAGCATTTGACGATTCGTGTGCTTCTGAATTAACCAATGAGAAGAAAGCACGTGAGTTGCTGAGTGAGGTTGACTGACTGGATAAGCCTAAAGCTTTAGGACAATACATTTTTACTCTTTATTAAATATTTCTTCTTATTTATTTTGTTGGACATGTCTACGCAGCAAATAAAAGGTTGTATTGGATTTTTTTTTAAGTAAATAAATATTGGTGTAATGGCTTTCTAGCCATTTAAACTTGTAAAGTTGGATACATGAACTTTAAACTTTCTCATTTGAACACTCGTATTTATGATTTCCTTAATTAATAAACACATCTGACCCTTGAGCCTACGCGCGCGTATTACACATACACAGACGTGTCCATCCAATCAGCAAATGACCAATGGATTTGTTACACGTCAAGGGCGCAAAAACGAAACACAACTGATTGGGGTCCCCCCTCTTTTATTCAATAGACCGACCTAAAAATGCTAATTTCGTCTTTTACCTCTCTCTAACCAAACTCTCCTCTTGTAAACCTAGGTTAGTAATGGCATGAAAAACCAGTCACCCCCTTCCAAAATCGATTATAATCACTCACCCATTATATTATTTTTGTTTATTATCTGTTAATCTCGTTCTGATCGAGCTTCGTTTTTTCTGTGATTTCGATTCCAATCAAGTTATAGGATCTGAATGTTGGTTTGTCTATTTTGATGTCATTTTCTCTTGTCATATGTTTTCTTATGAAATATTCGGTGATAGTCAGCTATATTTTGTCTGCATGCATAAATTATTTGTTATTTGAGATTTTAAATTAGGGTTTTTGGGAAAAAGAATCGAATCTTTACTTTACTTTAGGGATTTTATCTCTTTTGTCATCTAATTTCTTATGAATAATGTGTGATAATCAAAGCTATTTTTGTCTGCATGCACAAATTGTCTGTTGTTATTTGGGATTTTATATTAGAGTTTTTGGGGAAACAGTCGAATATTCACTTTACTTTAGGGATTTTATCTTTTTCATGACTGATATAGCATTTAGGGCTTAAAAAGTAGGGTTTTTTTGCATATTAAAATATTCTTGTCTCTCACATTGATAAAATTTATGGCTTTTTAGGGTTAAAGTGTATCTGACTTGGCCTCTTTAGGGCTTTTTTGCTCTATATCCTAGCATGTAGAGGAAGGAAATAATTAATCAAATAAACGATCAAGGAAACGCAAAACCCAACGCTGCACGGACAACTCACGTGCTAGCAATAGAACCCGCACGGACAACTCACATGCCAATAACATAATCCGCATGGTATAGTCCCAAGCCTCCAATCCAAACATATCATATAGGAGTATTTGAACAGGTATACAAGTATATGATGAGTGATATAAGATTCTCATGTTCCTGAACTGGTATAAATGACATGTTAAAGTATAGGCATATACAAAGTGTGATATCGTAGCTCAAATCGGAAATCTTTCATCACTGAGGATTTATCAAGTTCATTCAGGGATTTTAACCCCTATGTAGCCCCAAACACGGCTCAAATAGCTCAGGCAATGTTACAGATATGAGAAACATCATAGCTTAAAGCTTAACAGTCAATTTTAGGCTTATTATAGCCTAAACGCAATCCGATCATGGATGAATAGCCCTCAAAGAGGTCCTCAATGACTTAACCATAACACGTCTATTTTCTTGTTAACTTTGCCTCATCTTCACAGTCCGCGGCCCCGAAACATTTTGCTTCTAAAAACTCCCAGTCCCCAAATTCATAGAATACATGAACCACCGTAACTGATCACAACTCCAGCACTCGAATGACTAACACATCCTTCATGCAAGATCATCCCACTAGGAATACTTTCATAAGTCTTTTGTGCCACATAGCAATAATTTGAATATCAACAGTCTATCAACCAGGTGAGTACCGCAATATGAATGAATATCTGTAAGTCAAAACATAATGCGCCTTCTAAAATGCGCACCTTTCTCAAGAATTACCGAGCAGTTTTAACATTCATCTAAATATCTGAAACTGATCATGTTGTCCAAAATTCGTGACTTTCCATTCAAGACTGAACTGCCACCTTGTAAATGTAAAACTTAATCACGTACAATACACCACATCTATCATGCCATCATGTGAAAAGCACGAGAATCTCATTATCATCTCTGAGTCACCAGCAAATTACATACTCGGTTAGTTAGAAACCTTCCTTTTGCTCCCTTCCTGGAGGAAATCACAATACACAACACGTTTCTCACACCGATAGAAAATATCCGGCTCAAACCATTGTAGAAACTATCAAGAATACCTTAAAATCCATTTGCAAATAACCAAGCTATCAGAACTAAATTCCTCTAACTCGACCAAGCCATGCATGTCACCAAACCCAAGAATATTGTCACCAAAACATCTGTAGAGCCTCACCACATCATAATTACCCCCATAAATACCAGAACCGAGGCACCCACTCTGAAAAGACCTTAAATGAACTTAAAATTGTTTCATTACCTTTCTTATACTGGATGTAGAATCCATAGTCATATAGAATTACCTGAAGTACCGGCACCATCCTATATAAATAACCGATTCTAGCGATATATAAATCCGAAAAAAGTTTCAATTGCCATATATACATCTTGAATATCCATTAGAATCCTCTCAAGAGTCATCCACTTTTCTCAAATCTAAATTGTACCGCCCAAACGGGCCGAAAGACACGTGCACCATTAGCACAGGAGCACTCAAAGAAGTAACCCTACTTTAACACCACCGATCAAATTCATACTCTGTGTGCTCTACATCCTTCAAAAATAATAACTTAATCATTCCATGATTTTTCATATACTCATGAAGTGCAGTGTAACCCATATCCAGGAAATTTTCTTACTCGGGTCATCCTCGATCTCAACCTCTGCAGTCATAACTGATCCACAAGTATGTCTCCGGCCCAAATTAAAATTTAACATATAACCATAAGATCAAATCGTCAATAGTAGGCTCCCCCCTCCCACCTGGATTAAAGCCATAGATTAAAATATCCGATAACTCACCATACCCATACTCTATCACTGCCATAATACTACTACGAGGCTCAACCAAATTCTTCACCAGCTCATGCAACACAAACCATATGTTACCTTGAATCATCTGTTAAGCTCGCATTCATTCTCGTGACGGTCATGTCAATTTTTTCGTCCAGATTAAAGTTCAAATTTCAACACATATACCAAGCTAGTAGACACAAAATTCTCCACACAACATTATAGGGATCACACATCCATAAATTAGCCTGCAGGTGCTCACCCGCCTGCTTAGCCTCAAAGTGGCATATTTCTATACCCTTTTACAACCACATCTACTACGTAATCACTTGACCTTCCTGAGTTTGAACTCATCAACAAGTTATGAAAAGCTACTTCGCTCCACAATTAAACAACATGAAAGATTCTGCAGCACACCCATAACTCGAGACTATACGTCAAATCAAGATAAAAATCAATTACCCAACAACAAACTTTTGGGTCACAAGTAACTTTATTTGTCACATTCAACCCATCTGAACACATCCCACATTCACATCATACTCATCATATATCCATTTAATCGCTCATCGGGCCACAAAATTCTACTCATAGGAACACTACCAGACATATAAGTCTAAAAGCACAAGTTCTCACAACTGAAACTACCGAGCCTAAGCTGCGGTCTGAACCTGGCCTCAAATCCTCCAAACTATCCCATCATCAAAACACAGAAAACACATCTCGTACCTCGTTCATAGAATCACAAGCTATCAAAAAATAACTGATACCGAGCGTTCACATACGCATACGAGTGAGTGGAAGAAATTCAAAGAGGTACGCTTCAAGCCGAATCAATGTCGCACGATAAGGGAAAAAAGATGGGAAGTTTATCCTAAATGCCCTGTAGCCCCTCGAAATAAGTATGGACGTCATCATACCGATCCACAAGACTCTACTAGTATGAGTACAACCGACCTCATGTACTCAATAAGTAACAAACTTAACCTTAGTTTAAAAGTAGTGACGAGCTTGTACAAAGGTCAGAGTCCATACGAATAGCTAGTAACAATTCATAACAATATAATTAAAGCAACACAAGTAATAACTCAATGATAAAATGCTCAGCTCATTTACAATTATGGAAAATAAACATTTTCTTTTCAATTATAACAGTAAAACTCAAATCTTTTGCTGAAATCACCGAAAACATGAGTAAGTTTTAAATCTGTGATTTTTCTCAAAAATTTTAAAAACTGATAACAAATTTCATTATCAAATGGCAAGAGGAAAAATACTTCTCTATGCCTACATATCAAGTATGCATTTCTAATGCAATGCAACACAATGATGAACTCATGTACTCACACTCTCAGAGTACTCGATATCACTTATCAAGGTCTGGATCCGCATAGACAAATCACGTGCTATAGTATCAATATCTGAGTCTGCACGAACAACTCACGTGCTGCACGGACAATTCACGTGCTAATAATATCAATAGATGGATCCGCACGGACAACTCACGTGTTGCACGGACAACTCACGTGCTAATAATATAAATCAACTCTATTCACTGTGGCGGTGCAGACTCTGAAGGGGCTCCTTCAGCCCAAGCGCTATAATAAGCCAATCTGGCATGCTGCGACGTACATCCCGATCTCATAACAATAAAGCCTATAAGTCCTGCTGCGGCGTGCAGCCAGATCCATATAATAATATATATAAAGCTAATATGGCCTGCCGCAGCGTGCATCCTGATCCCATAAATATCCTCACAATCAGGCCCTCGGCATCATTCGGGTCATTAACTCTCCAGTCTCTCGGTCTCACAATGTCATGAAATCAGCCCCAAAATGATGATATGATGTATCAATAAATAGCAACAAAGACTGAG